TTTTCAGTGGTGCATTTAAAGCATTCACATTCTGTGTAATTATTGACAGGTAGGGTTTTATTGCTATCATTTTGTTCAATTCTTTTTGGTGTTGTTGGTAGTTACTTTGGTCCATCCTGTTTTCTGTGGCATCTCTGTATGAAGGATGTCTCTCAGTGTTTCCTGTAAGGCTGGTTTTGTTTTTACACACTCCCTTAGGTTCTGTATTTCTGGGAATATTTTGATCTCTCCTTTGTATTTGATAGAGAGTTTTGCTGGGTACAGTGTTCTTGATTGACAGTGTGTTCTTTGAGTGTTCGATGTATGTCATTCCATTGCTTTCTTTTTTTTTTTTTTGGATTTAAAGTATATTTTAATGGTAATATCTTGTCATCATCTTTAAATAAAGGTTATTTATAAATTCTTGCTTGCATGGTTTCTGCTGAGAAATCAGCACTTAATCTTATCTGTTCTCCCTTATGGGTTACTCTTTGTTTCTCTCTCGCTGCTTTCAGTATTCTCTCCTTATCTTTGGTTCTAGCAAATTTGACAAGAACATGCCTTGGTGTTTTTCTTTTAGGGTCTGTTCTATATGGTGTTCACTCAGCTTCTTGAATATATATTCTGTCATTCTTCATTATGCCTGGAAAGTTTTCCTCTAGTAATTCTTCCACAACTTTTTCAGTGCGTTTACTTGCTTCTTCCTGTTCTGGGATTCTAGTGATGTGAACGTTATTTCTTTTAATGGTATCCCACATTATTCTTAAGTTTTCTTCTTTTTTGATTCTGCCTTTTTCTCAGTCAGATCTGTGGTGACAATTCTATCTTCTATTTCACTGATTCTGTTTTCCATCTCTTCACCTCTATCCGTGTGTTCCTCTATCATGTTGACAGCATCAGAAACCTTAGATTTCAGGATGAATCTGTTTGTTTTCTTGGCAGTCCATAGTACATTCAATACTCTTCTCCAGCACCACAACTCAAAGGCATCAGTCCTCCTTCTGTCCTCCCTAGTCATTGTCCAACTCTCTGATGCATAACAAGTGATTGCAAAGACCATGGCCTGTATCAGGCACACCTTAGTCTCCAGAGA